CTCTGGCGTTAGAACCAGAGGCTCTGGCGTTAGAACCAGAGGCTCTGACGTTAGAACCAGAGGCTCTGGCGTTAGAACCAGAGGCTCTGACGTTAGAACGGGAGATACAGCTGCAGAACTGAAGATTCCCGCAGTTGAAGGCTGTTTCTGGTGGCAGGAAGCTGAAATAAACGACATGAAGGAGCCGAAGGTCAGCCTTCACCGAAACAAATAAGAGCTGCAACAGATCAGGACTTCTTGGAGCACGTCGGCTCAACAATGCTCCGACACTCGGACACAAGTCAAATCAGTGTTTTTAAAGTACGTCCATTAGCGCGGAGTCCTTCGGAGTGGCTCCAAAATCAGAACGCATTTCTTATTTCCAGCCAGGATGTTGGAACTATTTCAGAGGAAGTCTATCAATTAAAATCATCTTGCAATCAATTATTCACAACAGGGGCCTCATGATGCCCTAAACAACAACTGGCAACAAATCTGTCTTTTTAGTACACACTGATCACCATGTTCACGTTCATTCAGGGTGTGGAATGCTGCCATTTTGTTCTCATTCACTCGACTGCTTGTTCTTCTTGTACCCAGGTGGGGCTGTGCGGCACTTCCGAGTCCTGCTGCTGCTCAGTAATCCAGGAAGAAAAACGAACCCGGCTGACTCGGGTCCTCTGGACGCATTCTTCTTTGTTGAAACAAGAATCTAAAAGTCTCCAGTCTGAGCAACAAGCTCAGTCTTATAAATATCTCCTGACCAACAACATCTCAGACTGAAGAAGTCCTTAAAAGACGACATGATTCACTAAACAAGAATCAGTCCAGAGGACCCGACTCAGCCGGGTTAGTTGTCCGTAACTTGCCTGCAGTAAAACGCAGACAGAATGAGGTCAGATTCAAGGGGACGCCTCATGAGAGCTGCAGTTTCAGATCACTCAGTTCAAATGGGTGAATCTGAGGAGTTACTGGGACCATCAGGACATTTGAGTGGTTTTACTACCTGGCTCCATGTCTCTCATTTTGTTTTATTGCTGCTATGGATCTGTGCACATGCACACAGACGTTTAGAGCGCCGTCACTTTTACATACTGAGCTGGTGTGGAAGTCGCTGAGAGTCGTTCCCAACTCGCACTCTGAGCAACAGCCACATTGGCAAGATCAGCAAAGTTTGTATGAAAAGCTACTTTCAGTTACATCGTTCGTAGATTTAATCATCAGGATGCTTGGTAAAAAAAAAAGTTATTTTAAAAAACTAACAATTTCAAAGTGTACACAAACAGAAACGTACGAGTATTAAATGATCTCTTTGGATTAATAGTCCAATGGATCGAAACGTGAAAACAGATTGTACATATTGACGTAAAACACCGATTTATATTTTCTGACCTTTGTGTTTTTTGTCTCGTGTGTTTCTGTCGAGTCTGGGAGTTTTAAATCCAGCGTGAAACTGAATTATTAATTCGTTTAGGTTTCCTACGACTAATGACACAAACATGTAGCACTGATTCGTGTTTTGTGTTACACGTCTTTGGTTGCGGCTGACCGAGGAAGACATTTTGCTCGATTTGAATGAATATTTAAATATTTAAATCCAGTGATCTTCTCCAGCACCTCTGAGGCATTCTGGGCTGTGACGCTAGTTGCCCTCACAAGTCAAGTTTTTAAACCTGCATCTCTTTTCTCTCTGCAGCTCCCCGACCCGTCCTGCTGGTCTACAGGTTCTGGTCCAGCCAGCGGATGTAGCTGTTCATGCTCCTCTGGCCGACGCTCGACATCATCGGCAGGTTTGCGAACACCATGCAGCCGTGGAAACCGTCCTCGTGGTGGTCACTGGTCACGTCCACGCCGGCGTCTCGAAGGCGCCTGGCGTACATCAGCCCGTCGTCCCTCAGAACATCAAACTCACAGGTCATGACATACGCTTTGGGCGTCTTACCCAGAACCTCCTGCTCTGCCAGCAGAGGCGCCGCCCTCACGTCCAGCAGCCCCGGCACCCTGCTCACCACGCCAGGCGACCCCTTCTCTTTAACAACCAGCCTGAAATGCTTCCTGCGCTCAGCCGGCAGCATGGCGGTCCAGTTCAGCTTGGAGCGGGTCTTAGAGCTGATGTTCGGCTCGTCCAGAGAGCTGTGGTTGTTTTCCAGCAGGACAGGCACCAGCGAGATATTGGCGCCCAAATACTGAAGCCAGAAGCGAGCCATGTAAGGCCTGTGGAGGATGGGCACGGCCTGGTTCTGCTGGTAGGACGCGGTGTGGAAGTCGAGCGCCTGCAGCACCGGGTAGATCAACGCCTGGGCTGTAAACTTCACGCTCGTAGAGTTGTCTGAGGCGAGCTGTGGACACAGCGCAGATTTAGAAGATCGTTCAGACACTAAAACACACCTGTGCATCGTCGACACGTAAACTTATTTAAATGAGCAAAGAATCAGTTTTAAATTTGATCTTTAGACTCTGTTACCAGCACTCTGTCCAAATACACAATTTGTTCCCCTTTATTTCATTGAATCTTGAAAGACCAAAGACAAATGCTGCTGATCTCATGCTGCTGATTATTTCATGTTGCTGCATTCATTCGTACTCATCTACTCACAGGCTCATGTTCGTGCTGCTGTTGTTGGGCGTATTATTTTTGTACTATTAGTGTTTAGCGTATTTCTTAGTTTATCTCTTAGATCCTCATTATTGTTTCTTTTACACTTGATATTTTTGTTATTGTTGGATCTAACTGGGACCCTGTATACACAATTTCATTCCACCTCATGTACCACATGTGATGCAAATGACAATAAAACTTACTTTAACGTGGACTTGAACAAAAAAATGGTATTTTGCCCCTCTAAGCATTCTGTGGTTAAGATTTTAGAGTGCAGGTCTGACACTCAAAGGACCCTCAGTAAAATGTATACACTGCTCAGTTCAGATCATAAGTCCAGTTTGGACTCACTTAAACTGAAATGGGAAGCGGACTTGGAGGAACCCATATCAGATTCAATCTGGGGAAGGATCAAGAACAGTCACTCGTCCCTAATCTGCCTGAGACATGCTGTAATCCAAGTCAAGTTAGTCACAGGCTGCACTGGTCTAAAGACAAACTGTCCAAGATCAAGGCAGATCTGGACCCTGCATGCAATTGTTGTAAATAAACTCCAGCTACACCCTTGCATATATTCTGGACCTGTCCCAAACTGCAGACTTTCTGGTAATCTATATTTGACACCTTCTCTGGGATATGTGGTAAGACCGTACTTCCATCACCATTGATCTTACTGTTCGGGGTGGTCCCAGTGGATACACCCTTCAGCAAGCGTGAGAAGGATGTGATTGCCTTTGGCTCTCTTCTGGCCAGGAGGCTAATATTGTGTAACTGGAAGAATCCACACACCCGTCATATGTACATTGGTTAAGAGTGCGCCATGTTCATTTAGAGGAGGTGAGATGCACCTTAAAGGGCTCTGTACAAAGGTTCTGGGACACTTGGCGGCCATTTATATTGCTTGTTGAGAACATGTCGGCACCGGCTTGATTTGTTTGTGTGGGTTTGACTGATCCGGTGTGAGAGGGATGGGGTGGGGGTGGGAGGGGATTGTTCTACAGTTTCATGTTTTGTGTTGTTCTATGTAAAAAAAAAAAGATTTTTTTATTTTTTTTTAAAAGGGGTATTTTACTTCAAGAAGATGATTTCCAAAAAGCGATTAGCTGAAAACTATGCAGGATGTATTTAATTATTTTATTTTGTCACATTCCACCCTCCATAGAAACATGTACCACAGTAAATGATCAAATAAAGAGTGATGGCTCACAGGGCTATTTATTTATTTATTTTTGTACATTAAGAAAAAAAAAAAAAAAAAAGTGAAGTCCATAAACTGCTTCTCTGCTGTTGACAGTTTTTTGGATCGGACTCTTCCGTCTTTTGCTTCTGCTTTTCTACTTTCCACATTTTTTACAGCACACGCTGCACAATATGCTCGCCGTCATGCTAAGGAATAAAACTGAACATCTAATGTCTTTAAAAACAGAGTTAGTCAAACATTTTTTTAACTTGAGAAAAGAAGGAAATATAGCCTTTAAAGTCAAATCCTAAAACTAACCTTGTGCCAGCTCTCATGTATTAAATGAGGTCTTGCATGAAGTATTCATTTCTGACAGTCAATGTGTTGCAGGTGATTTACAACTACTACATTAGATTTTAGCTCAATAATTTTAAAACTAACTTGGCTACAGCCATTTTTGTGGTGGCTATCTTGAATTTGATTTTCATTAAATCCATTCAGTGCTTCATGAGGCGTCTTTCTAACAGACATCCCACCCAGATAAAAACTTATCACTTCCCTTGTGGCATTGGGCGATAATGACTAATTCAGAAGCCAAAGTCCAAAGGAAAATGTTGAAAGGCTTTCAGAAAGCTCAAAGAGCACAATCCCTTAAAAATATTTCAAGTGTGGCTGACGGTAAGCAAAGCCTAAAAAGTGAGGAGCAGATTTGGACTGTGTGTTTTACTGTACTGTAAATATTGAAGCTACAGCCACTCCTGACGTGGAAAACAGAAATACGCAGAAGAAAACTAAACCAGTTTGGTTCGTTTACCTGCTGAGCCACTGCAGCAGCCAGGTTTCCTCCGGCGCTATCTCCTGACACACAGACCCTCTCTGGATCGATGCTGTATCGCTGTAAAACCTCAGCTGACAGGAAGGCCTGCGATGCTGCCAAAGCATCGTGGTACTGATCTGGGAACACTGCCTCAGGAGCGAGACGGTAACTACAGAAACAAGACATGACACTTTGAATGAAGTAAATAACTTTACGTGTTCTCCGAGCATTTCTTGTTTATTTAACAAGGTTGAGTCAGGTCCTCTGGACGATTCTTCTTTGTTTAAACGTTTCTTCTTTTATCCAAAGAACTTCCTCAGTCTGAGGAGCTGCAACAACTTAAGTCTTATAAGCAGCACCTTCTCAGAGTGGATCAACCAGTTTTGCTGCTGACAACCAAAACCAGCTGATCACATGCTCAAGAAGGACCATCAGCCTAACAATGGATCATTAGCACACTGATGGCTGTTTACTGTTCACAGAGGGCTGAGTGATACTAGCAATCACAGCATTGTAAGAGGGGGACAGTTGAACCCGGAGGCCTCCACCCCTGTTTAATGATGGACGATTTCTTTTCACAAAGATGGCCTCCTTTACTCCTCTCTCAAACCATCGTTCCTCTCTGTCCAGGATGTGAACATCTTCATCCTTGAAAGAGTGACCGCTGGCCTGGAGATGAGTGTAGACCGCAGAGTCCTGGCCTGATGATGTTGATCTTCTGTGCTGGGCCATCCTTTTGGCCAGTGGCTGTTTTGTTTCCCCGATGTAAGACTGATCACAGCCCTCCTGACACTGAACAGCATACAC